CCTTCCTGCCACCCCAGCTGTGTATAAAGAGAGCGAAGAGGACAGCCAGCAAGGAACAGGGACTTGTGTGCAATTCTGGTGCTCTACAAAAAAAAAAAAAAAAAAAAAAAAAAAAAGCAGCAAGAGGGAGAGGGAGCAAGAGAACAAACATTTAATTCCCTTGTAAAACAGATGACTGCATTGTAATTTACTAGCAGCTGCTGGCAACAAACACCACGCTCTCATATTCCTATTAACCAAGCTGCAGCTGATTTATTAAAGGCTCAGATACATCAAAACAAATGACTGTAACATCATTTATATTACTATTTACAGCTCTTTAATAGGGTTACACGAAGGGGCAATGCAGCACAAACTGGAATCTGGTTACAAGGCTGTCAGGCAGCAGCAGAGCATCTCTCCATTGCACCAGGCTCCGGCGCTGAACAACCCTGCAGCATTTCCAACAATTACCCGCGAGCCTGTGAGGCACAGGTGTGCTGGAAATAGGTGCTAAGGCAGGCAGATCTTTCCAAATTGCCCAAGTACTCAGTCTGCTGCTAGCCAATACAATGCTGATTTAAAAAAAAATAATATTAATTAATTAATTAATTAATTAAAAACAGCGACAACAGAAGAGCCAGCCCTCTGCCCAGCAGCAGGACTTGCTGGAGGATAGCTGCACCAGCAAGGAACCAACATCGTGGCCCCTCTGCAGATCACGCTGTCCCTGCAGCTGCTGCTGAAGCTCCTGGGCCACACAAGGGATTCCCAAACGCTTGGCTCAGGCATCACCGCTGCCAGTAGGGAAGGATGCGGCCATTCCAGAAGGGATGAGAGGCCCAGCAGCATCTCCTGGTTCCAAGCAGGGCTGGGCACAGCGACGCCATCCAGCCCGGCCCGACCTCCCTCAGAAGAAGGCTGAGAGCAGCTCGGGGCTGGGCAGAAGTCAATAGGTTCGATCCCCCACCTCCTTGGGGCAGTGCAGCCCGCTGAGCTGTCTGTTTGCTGTACCCGAGGGCAGGGGCACAGCTGCAGCTGGAGTCCCAGCTCCAGGCCACCAATGTCCAACCCCAAACTCCTGGGGCTGGGAAGCGAGCACATTAGAAACGGCCGCTGGGTGCAAGGCAGAAACTGTTCACCCTGACTTAACTGATCTACAGGATCCTCTCTGCACAGATGGATTTTGATCAAAATAAAATGAAAAGCCACCTGGATTCCCCAAGCACTCGAGTGGGACCTGCAGCAGGAGTTCAGTGGGACCCGAACCGCTGCCACCCCCGAGGAAACAACCCAACGTCACCAGCCGTGGCCGCTCCATCTGCCAGGACGAGCAGTGCCAACAGCACCGATACTCCGAGCAGTGACAGGCTATGTCATCTGAAGGCTCTTTTATAACCGGGGCGACATACTTAAAAGGATTTTTAAATTAAAAGGGAGCTCTCTATTAAGAACATAAACCCCTTATCAGAGGTGTCGATGAAGGCAAATGGCTGGCTCCTTTGCTGTACAGATTTCACAAGGAATTCCCAGCCCACCCCACGAATTTTGAACCAATGTGTTCAAGCCTCTGGTTTTCTCTAACCCATAAAAGCTCCAGATAGTCAAATATTATGCTTCTGCTTTTTAAATATTTCCATTTAAATGTAGATTTTGACCTTCTTGCCAATGAAATATTAATAAGAGAATAAAATATATATTACTCTTCTTCTGAAGGAGAGGTCTCTCTAACTCTCTGTCATGTTCCCTATCAGTTTTTTGAAGAGGCTTTCTTCAAACCATGGTGAATTTATTCCTGGTTCCTACATTTTTTAGGCCATGGCAGCTGAAAGCAGAAAGGTGATCCCTTTATTCTTAACATCCCACGGGGAAAATGGGGGAGAAGTTCTGCCTCTCTAGATCAATGAAAAGTAAACAAGGACACCGTAGATAGGAACTGTATCATTTCCAGCAAGATGCAAAGGAAGGCTAATTTAATTTGAAGTAACTGTGTTCCTAAACAAGAAGGCAGTATAAAGATTAACTGAGACCTCCATTTCTTTATATAACTGCAGCCCATTAAGTGGAATAGGGAATAAAACTCACAAATTGCCCTGCTTATCCATCTTTATCTTCATCATTATTCAAAGACGAATACCCCCCTCCCCTCCCCACAGCATTATTTATCTTTCTCGCTCCTCCTTTGTCGTTAAAGGAAGGGAAAAAACAACAAAATACATCATGGTGCTGCTGCACTGGTTAAAGGGGATCAATTCTGCTCCTGCTGATCTAAATGAGAGCCAGGCTGGACCCCAAGGGTGCGCTACAGCCCTAATTACAGCTGCAGTAGGAGAAATGTTTCATCAGCGCAGAGTAACACCCTCTTTTAGAGACCATGTTAGGATGCACTCTAAAAACTAAGTGGTAAATACTATCAGTATCCAACACAATATTCTCACATCTCTGTTGCTCTTCTGGACATTTTCACTTTTTGAGGTGTGTTGTCGGTAACACTGCACAGCCGTCTCCGGGGAGGTGGGGAGGGCACAGAAATCATCTTGCAAACTAGGGAAAGATACACGGCCACTAGAGAAACCTAAGCCAGGATGGACTGAGACCTTGGGAACCTGCAGCCGCCAGATAAGAAATATGTCGCGTGATGAAGGAGACCCTGGAAGGGTCCTCAATCACTGCTGAGTGCTGCCCTGCGCAGCGTGCCTTCTGGAGGGCCGTAAAACAGATCAGCAATTCCTCAAACTTTCCTTACCAGCTTTTGCTGTCAATTCTCACGCTGGTGCCCCTGCGCTCTAACTCATGGAAAGTATTGATCCTGACTTATCACGTATATTGCCTTCATCATTTGGCTAAATTACAGCCCTGTGCCATCAGGCCAGTACTCTCACCACCTCCAAAGCAGGGTGTAATTTATAGTGGGTGGGATTCGGAAAAGCAACTGTGAGTTAAATGCCCAACTCCAGCCAGACTTCAACAAGCACTGGGTACCTAATTCTCTTAGGCTCTTTTCAAATACTAGCAGCCTTTTTTTTTTTCTTTTTTTTTTTTTAAGATGCTAGCAAGGAAAGGTCAACCTAATTTGTCATAGCAGCAAGTGAAGGCAAAAGATCAGCACATGCTGACAGGCTGTCTGAGAGGTTTCATTATAGAGCTGTTTACAGCATTTATTTCTCCTGTTGTTGCTGCTGTTTTCAGGGTCAAGGAACTGAGATCCCATTTCAGTAGCAGAGATCACTGGCCAGAGAAGGGAATACTTGAATTTTACCTCCTCCCTCACAGGCTTGTTGACTCATGCCACTAGCTGCTGAGATTTTTCTGAATAACCACATGGTTGTTGAAATTAATACTAACACATGGCAACTCCAAGCCCTAGTAGCAGCCCCAGCAACGCTAATTAGCATTAATAAAACTGGAAATTTTTAATGGAGCGTAACACCATCAGTGTTAATTCACAATAGCATATCAGCCAATCAAGTCAAATTAATTCATTTAAAGTTTGTTTCCTTTGGAACATAAAGTTCTTTTTACAAAGGAGAAAAGCTTAGAAGTGGGATAATTTCTGAAGTATTCCTTCTTCACGGCTTTTTATACTCTACAGTTCTTACAGAAATGGCCTAAAGCTCTACACCATCATTAATACAAACACTTAAGTACTATATTCAGTGTACGTAACTGCTGAAGAAAGGAACCCCTCCGAAGGTATCAATGGCCATAAGACTGCACAAAGGCCAGTGGTAGGGGCTGGCGAGCTCACACTCAGGGCTGCCCCTGAGCCAGGAGATGCGGGCGTCCACTGACCTGGGCACCCACAAACCAGGCATGTCAGGACAGAAAAAGAATCGCCCTGGGGAACGTCGCTGGCCGTTTTCCAGTCTTGGTTAGAGCAGAAGGAACAGAGAAGCAGTTTTGGCAAGGTTGCTGCTAAATTTGTCGCAGTCCAAAAGGGGACAACCGAGAGTCAAAGAGAGCACACTGAGTGCAATTGCATGGCCAAGAGCCAAGCCTCGGAGATGAAAGACATTAATGGAAGACCTTCAGCCATAGCCAAAAGTTCAGCTGACAACAGGATTTCTCTTCCAGGAGCAGGAGAAGAGGAACCTTTAGGTCAAGTGAATCACATCTCCTGACTCTGCCTCAAAAGGCTGCTAAAAAGGTCAAGAGATTTTTTTAGATTTTTTTTAAATCTCCTCGCTGTGTGCTACAAGACCATGCCATACACCCATTTATTTCATATTGCTCGTCAGGTGATGGTGATATTCATGTGATGAACAGATACGCAGGCAACACGATCCCAAATTCACACCTCGCATGCCCCAGTCAGCTTGCTTACATCAAAGCAGACCGTGGCAATGGCTTCCTCGATCTGCTTAGCTGATCGAGAGCTGGAAGGAGACAGAAAAATTTCTCTGTTCAGAGGGGAATTAAGGGTGAAGTTTAGGCCAACAGAGAACTGCGAAAGTTGTACGCTCGTTTATACAATCATCTAAATGGTTGCTTGGAGAACACAAACAGCATCCTGCAGCCTTTTGCGGGCCCCCTGCATGGCTGATAGCTCGTGCTGCCTCCCTCCCACCGTCCGTGTTTCTGTACTATGAGAAGTGAACAACAGCAAACAAACACAATACAAAGAAAGGCAGTGTTTGGATTTTTTTGTTGTTTAAAGCTCACCTTTAAAGACTTCCGAGAAACAAAGCTTCCAGGAAAACAAACCACCCTCACAGAGTCGGAAGGCAGGCAGACACTTCTCTGTGCCTAGCTGCTCGCTCCCACCCACGGCCCCCTGGCGCTGTCGCATCCACGCACTGCCTCACGGGCACTTTGCACCAGCACAGGAACAAGGCAGGGGGCTCAGCAGCCAAGAACAAGCTTTTTTTCCTCTTTTTTTCCTCGCTCTGCACCTAGCAGCCATGATCCCAGCAAGGGACAGGCTGCAGAGGCCCTACCTGCTGTCCATGCTGGGTTTCCTGCTCCATTCAAATGGCCAGCATGAGAAGAAAACTCTCAAGCAAATTTATCTCAGTGTCCTCAGCAATATCCTTTGCAGAATTTCAAAGAGTTGCTGGCAGTTGTTAAGCTGGTGCTGTTTAACTTGGACATCTGTCCACCCAGGCCGAGATGACCAACTTACTTTACATCACCGGCTAGCAATCAAATAATAATTACTTCGGGTTACTACAGGCTGGAGCTGGCTTTGAGTGAATGATTTCAGAGCACTGGAATCCATTACCAATAACCCAAACCAGCTGGGTTCTCGTCTCTGTTACAAAGAAAGCAGCAACAATTCCAAGCATTAATTCAGACCCCGAGCACTAGCTGGATCCCCAGTCCGTGGGAGCAGTGGCATGTACTCCGATGTAATTACCTCAAGATGGAAGCTACACGGACATCCTACGGAGAGCGCCTCAGAGTTTACATTCTGCGCCACATTTCACTCTCCAGAGTTAAACGGAAAAGGTTTGTATTAAATAAAAAGCTCCATTTAACATTATTTCCTCTGCAAAGGCAAGCTGGATAACACTGGTGGAAAGTGAGGATTTTGCAAATGTAGCATGCAGCCTCGCAGCGAAAGGGGAGCCAGCTGATGAGCACTAACTGCGATTTCCGTAACAAGCAAGTTAGAGTGTGCAGCAAATTGGTACATCCAAACAAACAAATCCCCGAATCCCCTCCGCTTGCCTTTATGAAACAAATGAGTCAGTGCTGACTAATCGTATTATAATACTGGGAAGCTTGTAATAGGCTTACAAACCATGTGTTTACAGGCTCATTATTGTTCAGTGCTTGCTGAGATAATAAGGATGCTATGGGAAGAACACTTCGGAGTCAGAATCTTATCGGGTACGTTTTAGAATCAAAATCATTTTGAATTTCAGACTGATACTGTCTATAAGGGAGCGGGACTGAAAAGGAATGGCATTCCCCCACACTGAGCCAGAGATCTCCGCTTTGAAGCCACAACTAACCAAGGGGTCCTGAGCACGAGAACACAGCAGATTCTCCCCATTTCTCCAGGGGGGATTAGAGCCAAGCACTCTGGGGCCAACCACCTCCTCTGAAGAGCTAATTTCACTGAAGAAAAAGACAAAAAGGAGAAATTTCTTCACTAGACAGTAGAAAGGACCGAGGTACATTACACCTCACTATTTTTTTTTCAATTCCCTATCCAAGATGGCAACAATCATCAAGAATTTGGTGGAATCCCCCCAAATTCTTATCATCATAGGACATGTGAAGCAGGCTACAGAATGGATCAGACAGTTGCATTTCACCTTTATAACAGGATTTGTAAAACCAAGGTGATGATTCTCATTTCCTATATATTTTAATTGTTTTAAAAAAGGCAGAACTCTACTAGTTTTATCCCTTCTTGAAGCTACAGGCCTCTCTTATTAGCACCGCATGTCCACTTAATTCCTAAAATCACCTCACCAGCAAAAAGCCTCTCTCTCATTTCTGACTGCCCTTAATAAATTAGAGTTGCTTTTCCCCTAAACAGATTCCAGGGCAAGCCCTGAAGCCACCATTCCTGCTGTGACAGAAGAGAGCTGCCTTGCAATAACATGGGAACACTGAGGAAGGTACTGTCTCCTGAATTGGGTAGCCTCTGCATGAATTCAGAGGGAGAAAAAAATCACTTGGTTGCCAGGCGTGCAGCCAGCCCGCCGTGCTCTCAGCTTCAAGAAACCAGCTGCCCCCCTCTGCAAGGAGCTTTGTGTCCCTTGAGATTATCAAAGGGCTCACAAACACATTCGCCATCCCAGGAGAGCAGCTCTTTGGTGATCACCCCCCTGTGACACCAGGGAAAAGGAGAGCTGGGGCGTACAACACGCTCACCAACAGGCTACAAGGAAATGCAGGGGGCAGGGAAGAGTTGTTGGTTTGGGGTCTGCATTTTCTAAGGGACGGTAAAGAGTCTGCAGCAAAATGCCATCAAAATCACCTTGAGAACCAATTAGTGCCTTTACATTTAAATGTACTTAATACATCAGCCCTGAAGCTGGGCAGGATCTTCCCAGTCACAGCCAGTTCAACCCTGCTGCCTGTTAACGGGACGGGTCACCGCGATGCCAACACCACGAAGGACAAAGAACGAGCGAGGACAAATCCGCCCTGGCCCTGCCATCCCTTAGGTCATACAGAAGGCCGGTGTTATGATTATCCAGCACCATTAACCTCAGCTTCTGCCCGTGGCAGAGTCCCAGCTGAAACAGGGCAGCTGAGGCAGAGCTCCTGTCAGAGAGGGACCCAAGGATCTCCTAGGCACTGGTCTGGGCTGGACACGGCTGCGAGCAGCCTGCTGAGGTTGCTGGCGGTCTGCTCGAGCTGAAATCGTCCCGTGATTCCGTGAACTTACCATCCTTTGTTTTTCAGAGGACAACAGCTCCTGCTTTGGATTTCAACACTGCACGGCTGCTGCTTTCCCTCTCGAACGCAGACCTCGCAGTGAGGCGGTCTGAAGAGGGGCTGGGGAGCAGCCCCTGCCTTCCCGGCAGCCAGGCACACTGCCTGCCAGGGGCTGCACCTCTGTTCCCTGGAGGCTGCCAAGCCTCACAGTAACTGCTGCGGCTCTGTTATACATTTTGCCCTATTCCCTGTTGCTGCTTTAACCCTCTGTGGCAGCTCCGGCCCTGGCAGGAGCATCCTTGGCTGTCTACACAAATCCGCAGGACTGCGTGAGGCTGGTAAGCTTCCCATTTCTTCAGCATAACCGAGGCAAGACTGTGCCTAAAGCAGCAGGCACGTGTCTTGAAACCTTCTGATTATGCAGCTGGGAAAGCCCTCTCCCTCTGAAATTATCAAATACTAAAAAGAGAGCAAGCGAGAGAAAGAACAGGGGCAGGGTGGAGAGGAGAGGGAATATCTATGGCCTTCTGCACCCGATTCTGTCACTCTGACATTTCTTTCAAATACAATTATTTAAAGCCTCCTGATGGCAAAGCTGAGGAAATGGACTAATAGTAGCTTGTACGGTACCTCTCCGTCAGGCAGTTCAATAAATCCTGGCAGTGCTGTGATTTGTGTTAGGAGAATGAGCTTTTCAAGAGCAGAACTATCACTTTACACCGTCAATAATCTCACTGTCAAAAACCCCCAAGTAACCTGACCGACATTTCAGAAGCTTAATTTATAGATGTGCTATTTGCCTTCAAGGTATTTTATGCAGCTAAATAATGGAAGTGGATATTATCCCAAACTACACCGCAGCTTTCACAAGCGGAGTCCAAGAACATGCAGGAGGACAAATTTTCTATTAGCTCTGGGCTACATCCTTCCCTCTGTGACACCTGTTTGATACCATCTACCGCTGGCAGAGTTGCTTCCAAATTATGCTCTGGGAAATAAAAGCAGAATCAAGCTCTTGTGCTTCCAGAGGAGGGCTAGCACTTACAGACCAAAGCAATGCATGTGGAAATGCCGCAGGGTCTCTGCCTCGGAGTGGACCACTTGTACGTGGAGCCCTGAGCACTGCTTCTCCCAGCCAGGGGGACCGCAGCAGGCTGAAGCACTGGCCAGGATTTCAAGGCTGGGACACAAATTGCAAGGATCAACACATGGATTAACAAATGGATCATCAGAAAAGATCCAGGCTCTACTGCTGATTTCCAGTTTTAGGGATACATCCATGGAACTGCTCAACCAAACAAGATAGGCAGACCTTTTTTTTCCCCTGAGAGGCTAGAGGCTTTTTTCTCTTCACCATAACTCATCATGCTATTTAATGGAAGAGGCTGGATTTCATTTAGTCCTGGCTCTTAATGCCGATCGGACAAGAATTAATTCCTTTAATGGGAAAGTATTTGTGCAAGGATAACAAAGACTAGCAGGGAGAGACTCCGGGCAGGCACCGAACATGACACTGCCATTGTATCCCGCACATCTGAGCACTCCAAGCTGTTCCAACCAAAACAATAAGGATCAGCCCGCTCCGGAGCAGGACAAGCCCTTTACATAAGAAGCCAGCAGCAGTGCTATGGATGTCACAAGTGTCTGGACATGTTTTTGGTTTAAACAAGTTAGAGAAGAAACTTGGGTGTTAGTAACCCCGACCTGGGGAAGCACACAGCTCTACACCCAAACTCTGCAGCTTGGATCTAGGTCTATTTTTTTAGTGACGCACGCACATTCCAGGCTGCAGAACAGCCCCAGTACATTTTTTGGTCAATAACTAATTATGCTGCTCCCTTTTTTCAGTCCAGAACCAAGTCACTGCAGCGGGTTTTGCCTTTAAAGCCGGGCTTGCACTCTTGCTCTGACAAAGGAGGAGAACCGGACTGCCCTTCATTCACGGTATCCATCAGTTCAGTTCAAACAACAGCACTTCCTTGACTAATAAGTCACACGCCAACAAATCAAGACAATTATCCAAAGGTCAATACATCAACAACATCCCTTTTTGCACTCTCGTATGACTCAGAAGCTGGCTCTCTACAGCCGGCATCTGCCACCCTTCTGACAAGGACGGCAAAGTCAGCTAAATGCTAGCTGCTGCCTGAAGCTCTCTGGCCTTGTATGAATGAAAAATCCCTTACACTGCCTGTGCAGAGGGCAGGGGAGCGTTCCCACTTCCAAACAGACCGGAGTAAGATCCCAAACACCAAATGAAGGACGAATGTTTTAACCAACTGCAAGCCTATTTGTCAGACAAAAGGAAGCTTGGCCTCTCGACTCTCCTCCACAATTCCCTACAACCCATTCAGTTCACCAGACTCAGCCAAAGCCACAGAATAAATTAATCTCAGTTTACTAACCACGCAAGTACATGTAACCTCTGCTGGATGGAATAAGAGCAGCTCGGATGCGTAACGTAGATCCCATGCATACTGCTAGCAGCTAATAAAACACAACTCAGTTGTTAGCATTCCCTTTTTTTTTACCTCCTTCCTTTTAGTAACATAAAACTCCATCTTTTCCGGGCAGTTCCACATGCAGCCTAGCAACAACGGCGACAAGCAAAGCCGCCGAGCTCTTACTACAGTCTATCGTGGAGATCAAGATCTAATTCTCTAACCGCACCCAGCTGAGGCCGTCAGTCCAATTCACCTTCCCAGAAACTGCAGTTTGGGGCAGCCAGCAAAGCCAAGCCACTAACGAGAGCACTTTGATGACTCTGAACCTGGCAGCGCAGACCCCGACTTCTGACACTGGGAATAAGCAAGCGCCCAGCCCACCCCATGGGCCAGCGAGTCGGGTTTTATTCCCCCAGCCCCATTTTGGTCGGGTTAGTGTTAATGATGCAGAGTCCTCTTGGCCCAGATCCATCCCGCATAAGGCAGTGATCGCCCGGTATTTACCTCAAAATCTCCTTCTCTTTTTAATACATGAACTACTGTAGATTAAAGTCAGTGCCGTGCAGCAAGGCAAGCTTTTCACTAAGCCTCAGCTGCACAAAGATCTCGGGGGGAATATTGACAAGAATGACTTGTTCCACATTTAAACCCAGCATCAAAAAATATTTATGCAAGCTTTTTTTCCGCCCTTTCTGTCCTCACTCCTTAATCCCGGTACGGCTGGAAAAGCAACTCACGACAAGTCTACGAGCAACACGTTCCAGGGGAAACATTTACCCTGCTCGCACTCACATCTCCCCAGGGCTGGGATCCTGGGCCAGGCGCCTTCGCTCCCCTGGCCCCGTCAGCGCCTCCTGGCCCTGCGGCAGCAGCGTGCTGGGAGCATGGCAGGCAGCACCGGGCTCCTCTGCTGCCTCCCTGCGTGGCGGTCCCTTCTTGCTAAATTTTTACTTTGGGGTTTTTCTTCCCTTCCCCCAGGAGTGGGTGCGTGAAGACAGGGGTCAGCCTTTGGCTAGGTGAAGGACCAAACTCTGCCCACCCTCACAGCTCGGGGGCAACCAGCAGCAGAGGCAGAGCCACAAACCAGCACACTTTGCAGGCACGCGCAGTCGCTCTGGCTCACAAGCTGTGCAGCCGATGGAAAACCTGCAGACACTGCTGACGGCTCGATGCATCAGTGCTAAACTTTCTCTGGAATGATGAATAAGAGATGGCGTACAGTTGGGCTCTCGATTCCTGGGTGAGTCAGCCCCAAAATGCAGTTTTCCTTTCTTCCCTGGACAGTTCAGATGAAGGGGACAAGGCGGGATCCTGGAGCCAAGAGGGAAATCCTCACCCACGTCCAGGAGGTGCTCTCCACCTGGGCTGAGCCACAGCCGTGCCTCAACCCTTCTGCTTTTTGCCTCTCACTGCCTCAGACCCCTATCACTTCACTTTCTGTTATTGTTCCTCATCTCCTTTCCCACTGCTGTGCGTGCTTCTCTTTTTACAAACACCAGCATTCAATACCCTTGCCTCCAGAAACCCATCACGCACCACAGGAATATATACGCCGAGCGGAGTTTCCATGCCATCTGCATGCTAGAGCAAGGTATTTTGTGCAACTTGCTAGATGCTAATCGCTCCTGCCATAATATTTACACTTCCTGCTGTTTCTTCTGCCCATTGCTCATTTAAGCTCTCAGTCTGGACACACGTACGCTGTCTTCCAAAATCGGGCACTGCTCTCACAGGTCCTTCAAACAGCCGAAGCGATCTATAGCACAACCACACGGCGTTCCCTTTGGGTTGCCAGAGACCTTCAGTCGGCCACCCTGACTTTCTGGATTTTTGACAGTAAGGAAACAAGAGCATCTGATTACACAAAGATGTCTGAGAGAGCATGTTACTAGAGCAACAGTGTCGTAAGTGGCTTGCTGTGCTCGCGCTCCCTAACCATCGGCAGCCCCAGGAGACGGCAGCAAGTTGGGGGCGGCAAAGCCGAGCAGCTCCCATTCAGGAGGTGAGTGACGAGAGCCACACGTCCACACAATGCACAGTGCTGCTGCTGAAACCCCCAACTCCCCAGAGGAATGAAAACAGAGGTTTTGACACAAATCCGTACCTGAGCACTAACTGGTAAACTGCCTTCCCCAGACAAGGTGTAATGAAACAAATGAAAGCGAACAAAGCAATGAATGACACACGAGAAGACGAAATACTGTGTCCTCCCCCTGTGATAAAGGAGTACAGCCAACTTGCAAAGTGCTGCTTCTCACAGGGAATGGACTTGAATAAAATAAGATTCATTGCACCACCAGCCCCAAAAAAGAAGCCGATGAAATTCAAGCACCTCAACCTTTTGCAGCAGTCTCCCAAAGCTTTCACAAAGGAGTACGAGGATATCATTAGAAGAATGCCTCTAAAAAAAAAGAAAAGCTTTCATTTAAAGCACATTTTTAATTCCAGATAATCTTTAACTTGATATTTACTTGCATACTAGAAAATCTAGAATATCAAATTGAAAGCAAAATGATCCCGCCCTTGTTAGCTAGCTCCTGGAGGAAAATGTGTTTGAACCCTTTGTTTCCAATGCAAGTGGATTCAAATGTTAAATTCAGTTTGGCTAAATACAAGCTAAGTTTGGCTCATTATCATATGAAATGACTTACGTTTGATCTGTTTGACCGAAAGGCATGTTTTGGCCCAGGTTCACGTGCTGCTATGCAGGTCTGTAATTCAGTTCAGATCCAACGAAACCTTAAATCTGGAGAACCAACGTCCAGATTTTCACAACTGACATTGTACAGAAATTAAATTCAGACTAGATCTTGAAATGGTTATGTTTAATGTTTGATCTTAAAAGAACAAGGCTGATGTCATCCTAGAACCAACATTAGGTTTAGTGCTGCTTGGTAACCAGCAAATATAAGGAAACAGGGAGCACCCGAACCTACATGGGATGAGTTAAACAACACAGCCCCAGGTCTTTTTTTTTCTTCTTCTTATTTAAAGGCTAAGTGCACGGAGTGCTGCTGCGGCTATACCACAAATGAAGCATCTTCAGAATTTTCATTCTGTGAATAATACCTTTCATGGCCAAGTTAGTGTATGAGTTAAGACTCTGCAAATGAATTTAGTCAGAAGGCATCACTGAAATGTGTCTTCATTTACCAAGTGCCACAGGCCAAGCTGAGGGCCGTTGGATTACAGAGAAAAACGAGATGTGGTTTCTTTTCTTCATGGAACTTTTACCTTTGTACACTTC